ACTGGACCACTTGGATAGCTCTGTTGATGTCGCTCGACTTCATTCAGCTGTTTACTGGACCACTTGGATAGCTCTGTTGATGCGATGAACATCATTCAGCTGTTTACTGGACCACTTGGATAGCTCTGTTGATGCGATGAACATCATTCAGCTGTTTACTGGACCACTTGGATAGCTCTGTTGATGTGCTCGACATCATTCAGCTGTTTACTGGACCACTTGGATAGCTCTGTTGATGCGATGAACATCATTCAGCTGTTTACTGGACCACTTGGATAGCTCTGTTGATGCGATCGTCATCATTCAGCTGTTTACTGAACTATTTGGATAGCTCTGTTGTTGCGATCGACTTCATTCAGCTGTTTACTGGACCACTTGAATAGCTCTGTTGATGCGATGAACATCCTTCAGCTATTTACTGGACCGCTTGGATAGCTTGAGACCAAGCGTAGTTAGCGTTTCGGGGCTGCGTGTCGAAGGGACTGTGGTTCGTAACATATTGCTGCTAAACGCACTTCGTAGTTTAAAATGTGGGTGCGTTATAAAGGTGATAGTCAATCCCGTTATTTGGTTTAAAAAAAGCGAAACAAGTACGTTGTAGCGGCTGGTGCTGCTGTCTAATTGTTCCCACCTCTATTCCGTACTTCAAAAGTACCTGAACCATGGGAGTCTGATTTAACCGTTTAGACAACGAGTGCGTACAGTGCTGTTCAGAATGAAAATTTCAATTCGATTTCTTACTCGTGAGCCCCCCCCCCCAATGGCACAACGGTATGTCTGCGGACTTACAACGCTAGAAACCGGGTTTTGATACCCATGATGGGCAGAACACAGTTAGCCCTTTGTGTAGCTTTGTGCTTAACTGCAAAAAAAAAATACTCGTGAAATCCCTTGGTGGATGAACGTTATGTTTATTTTAGCTACAACGCTTAAAATCCGGGATTAGTTTCCTGGTGGTGGGCAGACCACAGATATCCCATTGTGTAGTCTTGCACTAAAACTAAAGAAATTAGTCATGAAATATATCGTTCGATTAATATGTAAGACTCTATACCATAAAAAAAGAAAAGACGCTAAGACAAGCTGTGTTTCAATGGACCAAACATTTTAACGTTTTACAAATATATAGAAGAAGAAAAAATGAAAATAAACATATTCCATATAAAACATAACATTTTAAGATGCAAAATTTAAAATTATTATAAACAATATTTCAGTACACGCCCAGACTTGTTCGTTTTGTTTTTAAGCTCAACCCTACACTAATTGAGTCATATGATAATACCTCTATTATAAACAGATATATTTATAATAAGTGGTAGTAAGCATAGCCTATATATTTCTAACAGTGCTCACTATTGCAATAAATATAGTAATCATTGTTTATGAGTGGCAAAAACTCCTGTGAAGCGGTCCTGCCATCTACCGGGTAACCTCTTTTGATTGGCACCGCCAAAGCGTCTTTGAAATTCGCTGGTATGGCAAAAAAAAGGCGGGAATATCGTGGCTTACGTGACATTCATCAGTTACCACTATTGATTAATGATCTCTGCGACTCTGATTCATTTGATACCTTACTGTCAATTAATAAGATCATGGCGACTACCGGTAGTAAAAGGTCGTACACTGCAGCATTCAAACTAAAAGTTGTGGCAGGCCCTGAAGAGAAAGGCAAGCACCATGCAGGATTATATGTTGGATTATTATTGTTGTCACACAAGGTAAGCTTGGGGCAATACGATAGATGTATTTCAATATGTTTACGTGTAAAACCAACCATTCTTTGAAGCGTGTTTAAAAACATACGAAAGACTTTTCTGGGTGTTCAACAGCTTTGCACTGCATAAGGATCATTTTGGAAAGATTAAGGATTAATTACACTTTATAAAAGCGAATTTTCAAGTTCTTCAAACTATTTCTTCCATCATCGATTGAAATCAATTGGACAGCCATGACTGAGGCCGCAATTTTCTTTGTAATAAGCATCTACGAAAAACGGCAATTTTCCACAAACCCTCCAATGTACGTGGACGTTGGTTTCCAAGACCACGTTTAAACAAACCAAAGGAACCAGAGTACTTTGGAGCTGCATCGGTGAATATGAAATGCTATGTAATTCCTGTGATTCTAAATCATATAGCCATCATATTCAAGAAATCAGCAGATGACTTGGAGTTGTGGACGTCTAGCTTGTGAGCCTTTCTCAACACTAAATCCTTATTTGTATTTTGTCAACGGGACATGAAAATATGTTTAGCTTTATTACCATGAATATTTAGGACGAGATGTTTTCTTTTGTAATTCCTTCACTATGAAGATGAGTACCTTACTCCAGGTTGGCTTCGAGAGCGATTTTGAAGCCATTTGATGTCTTAAATGTTCTGTTCCAGAAATAAAGAACATTGCAGGTTTCCTCTTCAAATGTTATGTCCTTTGGCTCTGCATCGTTTAACAATGTTGCTATACGAATATCCTTTGTGGGAAAGGACTGCAAAATAACAGTCCAGTCATAAGGCAACTCCTGGCGGCATTGCACTGTCGAATGATCGATAGTTCTCGGTAAACCAACTATTCAGGTGGCAAATATGTCACTCGTGATGCAACGGCTCGATGTTGTAATGATTAACCCTTTATATAGCTTACTAACATTTAAAAATGCATTGACAGCCTCATATGTTAGAAATTAAAAGGAAATATTTTCCCCCATGACACTGACAAAAGAAAGAATAACTCTTTGTCAGTTTAGAAATGAGATGAAATTAAGGTCATCAGTGCTGTGCCTTAACAATATTTATATTATGACTGACTTGACTAAGTGAAATATGGGGATAAAATATTGAAACAGAAAAGTATAGATGCTATGTAAGGCTACGTAATTATTGTTGTATAAGGTTCAATTTGTTTCAGAATTTTGTGGATAGGACTATCATACAAGGACTATTGGAGGATAACAATTCATAATTTTGCACGATAAAGAATAAAGATTGCAGCCAGTCAATAACACCAACCACCAATACTAAAACTCTTGGACTACTTGTAGCTCTTCAAATAGTGAGCTTTAACAGTTAGCCATACAGCGCACCCACGACCTCAATGTTCGGAACACGTTATTACGACAACGTGTCGCGAACCATGAGTCCTCGAATTCATAATCCAGTAACGGTAACCAATTGTGTAGAAAAAAGGTTGAGTATATAATCTCCAACTTGAAACTACTTATATAACTTTAATCGAAACAATGAGTTTTAATTATAATTTACTTATACCAGTATAAGCACACCCAAATAGGTGTGTCAACGTCATCAAAGTCGATTATGCCCTAATTAACTGAGGAAACGTACGATGTAATATTTTACAGATTAGCGATGACATCTAGCACAAAATCAGGATTTACAGTTTCTAAAATTGTAGTGAACTCTGAAATTAACCTTTAAGAGTGTGCCTTATGCGATCATTAAACAAGGCTAGTATCAAACTATTTATTATTTTAAAAAAACTTCTAATTAGAAGCATTACACTTCCCAGTAATATAAACTACTTCTTGAACCGGGAGTGAATTAACGGTTAACTTGATGGTCTGTTGATTAACAGGTCCAAGGTTCGAGTCATGTATGCTGCTGAACATACTCCACATTTTCAGCTGTGGGTACATTATAACTTGACAGTTAATTACAACGACATTCAGTTACGAGTAGCATCTTGGGTGATGGGTGCTAATGATTGGTTGCCCTCCTTCTTGTCAGCACCTGTGAATTAGGGATGTCTATGTTTGAGTCGTAGGCCTAGTGTTATAATGCCTGGATTCCAAATCAGAAGGTTCGCGGTTGGCGTCACGTTGCCGCAAAAACACGCTTTTCGCTTTGGAGCGGTGGGTGCACTATAAGATTGAAAGTTAAATCCCACCATTTGGTCAGACAATAGTAGACAAGGAGTTGGCGATGGGTACTGTTGACTAGCTAACTGCCTTCTCGCTAGTCTATAAATTCAAAAGTTATGAATGTTTACGCAGATAGCTTTGTGAAAAAAATATAACTACATCAACAAGTTCTAAGCCGTAAGGGTCTCTAGCTTGGACGGTAGGCACTACGTTGCATAACGTGTCGCACGGGTTAAAATTTCTAGATCGGGTACTTCATTCGCATTCGTACTGTCAAAAACTGACTCTTTGTGATCAGATTGCACCTGGTGTAAGAAAAGCAATATCTCGTTCAATATACGAATATTAGAACACTGTTAGACTTCCTAAATTCCAGATTTCCCCAGACTTTGAATAGTACTTGAAATCAGAAATGTAATGAAGATGAATGAACAGTCTAAATTGCCCTTATATAAACTTATGATAATTTTATTTAAAAAGAGAGTGAATTACAATACTTACGCTGATTTTTTCTTATTATTCTTTACATTTACAATAAGTATTTATCAATAAACGTCTTTACACTAAAGTATTCTTCTCGGTGTTGTAGAATACAACGCAAACGTCTCATTCCCACGAAGTGTTATTTTTCGATTTTTAATGAAATCATTCGACTCAAAAATTAATACATATAAAGAGTTATAAAACGTGCAAAAAAGCCACAATCTTCAATATCATACTTCAGCCTAATGAACAATTACCAGAAGTTCTGTGAGTTTCATTTCCCAAAGCGAGTGAGTGGCTGAAAAAGTACGTGACGTATTGTAATTTTCCTTCCTTCCCAGGACAGTCCAATGGAGGATTTTGCATACAAATACGAACATCGTTATATCTTAAACAACTAAAAGATTAATTTTTGACACCAAGGAATGGGCACGCCTAACCTGAGATACGTCAACCTAAGGTGTATCACATTTGCTTCACGCGAGGACGCGTGGGTTGAACGCGACATTACCGCACGCGCGATAGGAGGCAGAGAGCGAATTGCAGAATGCGAGGTGATGAGTAAATATTTAGCGCAGATACTGTAGTTTTAAAGAACACTTGGATCAGGAGAGTGAGTTCGGACGACAGCTGGACGAAGCTCTTCCCCTTTGATTCCAGGAGACTTAATCCCAAGACTGAGACACTGGAAAACAGTTTATATCAAGTACGTTTGATCTCCTAAATTTCCTGCTAACTTTTTTTCCTGTCATATTTCTACTTAACTTTCTAACAATATTTTTCTCTCTAATGATATATGACTACTTTTTTTCCGCAACGATGTTTCGAAAACTGAAGCCTTAATTTCTAAGGTGGGATTTCTATAAACTCAAAATATTTGATTTTGCTTATAACTAATTTTCATATTTGTAATAATATGAATGTTTATATGCATTAACTAGTTTTTTAAATGTAGTAATATACTTTTTAAACAAATTAGTTTTTCTGAACAACCACATGTTTTGAAGTCTACAGGACTTCACCAAAATTTATCCAAATATAAAATGGCTAACGTTCTTAATTGTCCGGAGACTCACTTATATGGAGTGTTCTAGACCCAGCTCTATTAATGTAAAATATCCCCCGGGGGCTCAGCAGTGATTTTACGTACTTACAACGCTAAAATACGGGGTATGGTTCTACTCCATTGGATAACTTTGCGCTAAAACAACAACAACAAACACGACAATTTTCAAAACAAAAACGTCACCTCGGCATAACTCCCAGTAATATATGCCAAAACTGTTAATATTATAACATTGGTACTAGCACTTTTAGTGGCTTATGACCTAATAAAACGTATTTAACCAGCTAACTCGAAGAGACGGCTCAAAACTAGTAAACAATGGTCTCTGCACGAGCGATTTTTCTTTCTTTATTTCAGAAAACACTTTGAAAATCAAAATTAACGCATAATATTCTAAAGCCGAAACTTTAAAGCAATCACGTTTACAGACACTTTATTTGCTTCACTATAAAACCAAACGTCAGTGTATGTACATAAATTTCAAGTAAAACCCTATTACCTATTTCCTTTCATACAATTGTTTTATTGAGTGACAAACGTCAGTGTATGTACATAAATTTCAAGTAAAACCCTTTTAGTTATTTCCTTTCATACAATTGTTTTATTGAGTGACAATTTACACGTTTGCTTTCAATTCCAATGAAAAACGCTATACCATTTGTCAAAAACTATTCTGCACAAAAAATATCAATCACAGCACATGAGTTATCTGTGCTGAAACCCAGTACTGAATTTAATTATATAGAAAAATGGTAATGATAGCAACTGAGGAGAAGTAGTTAAACACCTAACAAAATGCTTCACTAAAACTGCACCTCCCAAGCTGTGAGACGCGATCTCCTAAAGATTACGTGAAGATATACTTACTGATTTTCCATTTTCGCAATAAACCAAAACTCACTTAAATCCCATTGACACCTGAATTACATTTATATTTTAATGAATTTTCAATAACCCAGTACAATAGATATATATATATATAGATGATAGGTCTTTATAAACATTTAAGTAGGCGATTGGTCGTAATAAACGAAAGATCAGAGATAGTTATGGAATAATGACACAGCAGCAAGCAGAAGATTAAGAAAAGTTGCGAAAAAGTAACATTTACTTCTGTAACAGAAGTAAAACAGAGTAAAAAATTAGATTAAAAGTATAGAGTAAAAGATAAGATAACGAATGTGGAGTAAAAGGTGAGATACGAGTATGAAGTAAAATATAAGATAACGAATGTGGAGTAAAAGGTGAGATACGGGTATGAAGTAAAATACAAGATACGGGTATGAAGTGAAAACTAAGATACGGGGATGTAGTAAAATATGAGATACGGGTATGAAGTAAAATATGAGATACGGGTATGAAGTAAAAACTAAGATACGAGGATGTAGTAAAATATGAGATACGGGTATGAAGTAAAATATGAGATACGGGTATGGAGTAAAATATAAGATACGGGTATGAAGTATAATATAAGATACGGGTATGTAAGTAAAATATGAGATACGGGTATGAAGTAAAAACTAAGATACGAGGATGTAGTAAAATATAAGATACGGGTATGAAGTAAAATATGAGATACGGGTATAAGTAAAATATGAGATACGGGTATGGAGTAAAATATAAGATACGGGTATGAAGTGAAAACTAAGATACGGGGATGTAGTAAAATATGAGATACGGGTATGAAGTAAAATATAAGATACGGGTATGAAGTGAAAACTAAGATACGGGGATGTAGTAAAATATGAGATACGGGTATGAAGTAAAATATGAGATACGGGTATGAAGTATAATATGAGATACGGGTATGGAGTAAAAGATGAAATGCGGGTATGAACTAAAAGATAAGGTACAGGTTTGGAATAAAAGGTAAGATCGGGTATGAAACTGTAAACAAAGAAAGCGAAAGATGAAAAATATTTAAAGAAGATTGGAAAATGGAGCAGAAGATCCTAGTTTATCAAGTTGTAAAAATGAAGATAAAAAAAACAATGAAAATTATAGAATGGTTAGATATTTAAATAAAGAGTGCAGAAGGTCAGGGAGCACAAAAAGTGTTTACGTAATAGAATAGACAGTAAAACGTCAGAGTGTGTTGGGTAATGTAACACAACAGAAAAATAGAAGATCAGAAAGATTATGATTAGATAGAATTATAGAAATATCGGATAAATAAAAGAACATAAAAAAACAGGGAATCGTGAGAAAACTGACCAAGTTACGAGTTCAAAGATATCACAACGTAGTTTAATACAGAGGAAATTGGAATGGATAAGACGGACCACAAAAGATAATAACTAAAAAGGTTCATAACTGGAGAACGATAATCCAGAAAGTAATCTGCCTACGTATAGTTCATCCTATATATTACAGTATGTTGTAAGATTGATTCTAGAAGTTTGTGTGTAAAATTGGTAGATCTTTGAAAGAACTCAAGGCTCAATTTGTAAATTAAACTATTTCAAAACGGTAACATGTGAAGTTTAATCCAGTGTTATTTGTGTTGTTTATATTCGAAATGCTCTTTTTTGTCATTCGATAGCACAAAAACCGTTTAACGGATATTTTTTAAACATGGTTGCATTCTCATTAGCAACCTTCGCACAAACTCCTCATCAATCTATTAAACTATACTGTATGTCCATCTAATTCGTCACTATATTCTGTCGTGATCCCTAACGTACGTGTATTTCAGCCAATAAGTCTTAGCACATGATTATATCCAATATATAAATTTAACATATGGAATCATGTTGAAATCTTACGTGAAATTGAAAACTACAGTCCTCTAATTACAACGTAAATAACGAAATGTTCATTCGCGTTGTTTGGAAAGCATTACACTAAGCTAAAATTAACTATTATGTAAAGCCTTTCCACTCATTTCATAATTTCTGATACCAAAGGAAGATTAGTTCAAAAAACAAAAACTCCTAAACTATTTTATGGCTTCCATACGTATATTTTAATGGTAAATCTGGCTGAAATTTTACAACAAATGGCATCATTTAGAACAACAATACTACAAAAAAACAGTAAAAGTTCGAAATAAAGGATCTGTAGAATGTCACAGGAATAAAGTAAAATTCTTATAATAAATACTTCTTCATTAATGAATGCAACGTTTCATCTAAAAATCGCTGAACACTAAAAAAAGTAAAAACAGGTAGATTAAGAAAAAATTAAAAGAACAGCAGACAAAGTAGAGATTAACGTACAGTTCGAAGAGATTAAAACACTTAAAAAATTCAGGAAAGATACCTACCTGTACAGATGGAACACATATGAAAGATCACAACACTATTCTAAGCATGAAATGAACAGCGTAAGAAAGGATTGGTCGAATGAAAATAGAAAGTTTTTTTTTTTTTAGTTATAGTATGCGAAAACCTTATGTGTTTAAATTGGGACTTCGGGAATCAAGCAACGTGAAAAGAAGGGATAAAAGTTTGAAAAGAAGACAGCGAAACAAAGACGGTTAACGAGGAGATTTAGCTAGGTTTAACAAAAAAAGTTGTGTCCAAAGACAGATAAAAGCTAAAATGGCATGGTAAAAGACGAGAGAAATGGTTTAAAATAGTTTAGAAAAGTCAACAATAAAAACAAAAAGGAAAAGGACATCAACAATAAAGAAAATTCGGTTAATTAGTTACTGGAAATAATCTAATTACATTGTTAAAAGCGCTAGAAGAGTTAGAGATTGAAGAGTAACGAACATGAAAACCAAAGATCTAAACAAGGAAATAACAGCAAGCTACAGAGACTGAGGGCAAGAAAAAATATGTTTGAAAAGAGAGAAATGGGGGTAATAAAGGAGACAGAATAAAACCTTGCTTAATTGAGATAATTAAAGTAAAAGGCTGATAAAAATATATTATATGCGTCAATAAGTAGCAGCATTATTGTTATAACAATAAAAGAAAATCATCAAAGAAATATTATTAAATAATAATGGTTTCCCCTTTGTCAAACCTCGTAATCATTTTATCCCAAGATATAATGTTCCCATATTAAACCACGTGGCTGCATTAACCATAAAGACAGTTTTGTCCTGTTATACGGCGTAGATAAACCAACATAAAGACAATTCTCCTGTTAAATGACGTAGATAAACCACCATAAACACAATTTTTGTCCCGTTAAACGAAGTAGGTAAACCAGCATAAAGACAATATTTGTCCTGATAAACGACCTAAATAAATCAACATAAAGATAATTTTCGTCCAGTTAAACGACGTAGATAAATCAACAAAAAGACAATTTTGGTCCCGTTAAACGAAGTAGGTAAACCACCATAAAGACAATATTTGTCCTGTTAAATGAAGTACGTAAGCTATCATAAAAACAGTCTTCGTCCTGATAAACGACGTATATAAGCCATCATAAAGACAATTTTCGTTCCTGTTAAACGAAGTAGGTAAACCAGCATAAAGATATTATTTGTCTTGTTAAATGAAGTATGTAAGCCATCATAAAGACAATTTTCGTCCAGTTAAACGACGTAGATAAATCAACATAAAGACAATTTTCGTCCAGTTAAACGATGTAGATAAACCAACATAAAGACACTTTTCCAGTTAAATGACGTAGATAAATCAACAAAAAGACAATTTTTGTCCCGTTAAACGAAGTAGGTAAAC